TGCCTCTGCTCCTGCTGCGTCTGCATCGCGTTATGATTATGAATTCGGAACACCAACTGCCACCTTGCAAGATGCACTCTTGTTTGCGATGGGTTCAGGACTCCCAGTCGCTGGATCCAGACGATGCCAAGGTACGAACAAGATTGAGATTGGGCTTGCGATTTGACTCAGCAGTTGGCACTTGGATTTGTTGTTAACTGAAGCTCTCTACAATTAGCATTCTTCAGCTGCTGATCTTTCACGGAGCGTGCAAAGCTATAGCTTTCAGGGACCAGATGCTGCATCTTTGGCGCAATGGCGCCGTCTTTGGCTGGAGAGAAATTGCGAGCCATTCATTCGGAGCTACTGAGTTTTTGAGCTGTTGAGGTTGCTGAATGTGGCCCCGAGCCTTGAAAGATCTGCCGAAGAGGCTCATGTCCCAGCTGAAGAACTAGTGGGGTTTTGTGCAGATTTACGTTTTCATGATTTTGCATGGCCCTGCCTATTGTTTCTCCCCACTTGTCGGTGGGGTTGTTAGATTTTCAGGACAAAGAGTCACGCATCATGGAACGCGACACGCTCAAGACAGCAGGCTTGCAGGCAGTACAACAGTCGGAAAAAAAGCTAGGCGAGCGCGGCAGAATGCATTTCCTGTCCAAAGCATCCCGGGATGGGGGGTTTCAGAAGTTTCCAGCCTAAAATGCCCTAGAATCCTGGAAGCGCTTCTCGGCTCGAGATGGTGGCGATGTCTGGTGGTGATGGGTTTGCTGAGGCTAGAATCTTGAGCAACGAAAACAATCGTGCCCAGTTTTGCTGCTCAAAGCCGCTTGCGCACGCTGCTTTCCGGTCTCTCCAACTTTTGTACGCAGCCCCTGCGTCATTTTGTCTGAAAAGTTGAAAAGTGCGAGTGTGCAAAAGTGTTTCCCTTGGAGCTTTGGGCTTTTGTCGGGGACTTTCACTGGGGTTATGTCCCTCCTTTTGCTCCATACTTGTGTGGTTTGCATGTCCACCGATGCACCGCGCCAATCACCAGCGAACATGGTCCAAGAAGTGTGCGTGTGCGTAGCTTGTGTCTTTGAGGTGTGGATTGAGCCGGAGCTGTTGAAGCTGCTGATTTTTCTGCCCTACAGGTGCACATGGAGTACCAGAAGCTGAAAGCGACGTACGACTCTGCAAAGGTTCCGCCGAGTTTTGCATGGTTCTTGCACTTGCGAATGTCGCCAGTGCTGTTTTTAGCGGAGGAGAGTTTGCTGTCCGAGCGAATGGAGCCAGCCGCTGATATTGGGATGCCGCAACTGTTTGTCTTCCAGACTGCCGACTTTCGAAGCTGCAGGTCGTATGGGCTCAAGCCGGCAGCTCTGTTGTGTGAAGCGTTTTGGTATATGTTGGCATTGGCATGTAGTATTCTATGCTGCTTCGCACTCATTAATTGTGATGATGCCTTGCAACTTATTTCTTTGACCACGCGGAGGCCGAGTGATGCGTCGAAACCAAAGCTGGAAGTATTGTGCAGAACTCAGTATGGGATCCATCGGCTTGTGTAGGGCACTTCGTGTCCTGATTGCCCACGGAGCAGCCATCCTGTCTGTCAGGCAGCAAAAGCTCCAAGAGTCAAATGCAGAGCTGCAGGTACTTGTGGAAGAGAAAGCTCACCTGGAAGAGGCTGCTCCGTGCACAGACATCTGTATGTGCCCACGTTGTCGTTCGGGAGGCGGTTCGAAGCCCAAAGAAGAAGATCAAGGCCTTAGCGAAAACCTTGTGTAAGAGTGTGAATTCTCAACTCGATCGGGTACAAGCTGGCGGAGTCGTCGACACTGCTGTTGTCATCCGAGCTGTCCGAGCTCGACTTGCTTTCCTTGGAGGTGTCGTTGCTGGCTGGCTGTCTGGTGCCTTTTGCCCCGCGGAGCATCAGAGACCTCGTTTGCATATCATTGTGGGCGTATCTGGTCGGCAGGCCTCTTGTAGCGAATTGTATCCTCCCAAGAATCAAAATTGAAACTCGGAGAAGATGTGGCGTGCTGGAGCCGTGTGTTTGTAGCATCATTGGCAGAGCCGCGGCGCTTCGTCGTCGGGCTGAGGCTTCGGCCCAGGACGGCGCAGCGTGAACTTGTCCCTTCATGTGGCCTCCGCTTGGGCCAGTCAAGCTTCTCTCGGCCTCCGCTTGGGTCAGTCAAGCCTCGCTCCGGCCTCCGCTTGGGTCAGTCAAGCTGCTCTCGGCCTCCGCTTGGGTCAGTCAAGCCGCTCACCTTCTTGCTGGTTGTACTTTGGCCTCCGCTTGGGTCTGTCAAGCATTTCTCTGTACATGAATGAAGGTTTCTGTTCGGTGAAGGTTCGCTAGAATCCTTTCGCATCTGAGCGGGGACTCCAGGCGCTCGGCACACATGGCCAGGCTCTGTGGAACTCGTAGGCTAATGTTTGTATGCTTGTTCCCGCACCGCCCTCAGACGCAGGTGCTAGGTGGGGTTGGGGCCGCCCTCACAAGTAGCGGTAGGCCAGATTTGACGTGTCAAAACAAGACTCCATGCATCTGAGTTGTCGGAGCAAACCCGAGCTGAATGCTGCTCACAGGCCGAATCCAGCTTTGACAGCCAGGCGGCAGTTCATGTGGAGTTGTCTCGGTGCATCGTCATCGCCGTGTCGCTATGTCACTTGCTTCTCATTGATGTTTGAGGCTGTCATGCCATCATCACCAGCTGGTGAGGACGAAGCTCAGGATGTGCCGGCCGTGATCGACACTTACACTTCCACACGGCTTCATACGGTTTCATGCGATGTGCATGGCTTCCAAAATCTTTCACACAAAGTGCATGGGCTCAGGGCCTCTGAATCGCACAGCTCTCTTTTCGGTTCCAACGGGCAGCCCATCTTGGCTGGTGCTGCGGGGTGCCGAGGTTTAACCTTTGTGTATCACCTGGATTGGACCTGCAAGCAGTAGTTGCAGTATCAGGACTTGCCAGACCCGTCCGAATTCACAGCTGTGGGCCAGTGAAAGCCTCGAACGTTTGATAAAGGTAGTTCAGCGAGTGTGTGGTGGACCTGTTGGCTGAAGGTCTCGGCCATACCTGGCAGAATTAACCAAGGCCGCAGGAACTGTCTGATTGCACGCGCGCATCTGACTTATCTGACAAATGCCTGACACAACCTCGGGTGGCGCAGCAGGCATGCCAACTGCTGGAGCAGCAGCGTGCCTATCCCTCAAAGTGTGGCAGACAGCAGCGCGCTGCATCTGCAGCTGCGAAGATGCGCCTTTTGTATTCCACAAGCATCCACTAGCATCTGCAAAGGCCAGCCTTTCAGCGAAGCTGAGACTTGCAAACGGCGAGAGCCTTGAAGAAAGCGATGATCCCGGCGACATGCGCGAGATTCAAGCTAGTCCTCGGCGAAAGGACCCCGCGCAGGACCCGGCACAGACGCCTCATTCTCGGAAGGATGAAAGGCCATGTTTGCTTGTTTTCTGGCAGGAAACTGGAAGCAACGCGTCCCTTGCCTGAGCTTGAATCGGCGACCTTGAGCCTAAAAACTTCCCTTGAATTTGTACTCAGCGTTGTGATCTGCGATGGATGGCGAAGCGTTTGCGAGGGCTGAATAGCGATGAGGAACTTAATGCTTCCACTGCAGTGTAGGATGTAGACATAATATGAGTTTGGAAGCACGGGTCCCAGGGCCGGGCCCGTTCTCTGGAGTGACACTTGGCAAGTGTCTTAGAATTTTCCTCGAGTCCTCCCATTTTTTAGAGGCCTTTCTGCCCGACGGCTCTCACCACTTCGAAAAGCTTTGCGTCTTAAGGCCCTGGCCGCCACCCTCGTTGGATCTCATTGGGATCTTCTAACCAAACGGTTTCGGGTCGGGAGCAGCCTGAAGCTGTGGAGCCGGGTCTATGTCTACGTGGTCTGCTCGGATTCCGCTGGTGGCTGGCGACCCGAATCCCTACGCATCCACATACTCGTATATACTCGTCAAGTTTGATAGTCTGATAGTGGCGAGGTTGAGTTCACGCACCCTTTGGCAGCATGGCCATCCCGAAGGAGGGTAGGTGGGACAGGAGACGCCTGTCTTGGTGGCCACACACCGAGGAGATTAGTGCAGTCTTTTCTGGCAACACCTCGCCTGCCTTGAGAGTTCGTGCGCAAAGCGTGTAATTGGCCAGGCCAGTGGCGTCGCTGCCGCGCGAGACGCCCGAAACTGACCGAAGCTGGAAAGGCATTAGGCGACTTGGTGGAGACTTGGAGGACGACGTCGTCAGACAGACGAGTTGGCTGGGGCGGTGCCGTTGGCCGGTTCGGCAGTGGAGGTTGCGTTTGGGTTCACGCAGGAAGACTTAGCAGTCAGGACGCCTACCTTCAGATGCACGTGCCCGCCGGTCTTGGGCAGAAAAAATTACGCCACTGAAGACCCCAAACAGTCAAAAGGCACGTCAAAGAAACAGTGGAGACGACGGGAGACAAAGGGAGACGAAGGGAGACAAAGGGAGGCGAGGAGCACAGCAACCCGGCAAAGCCACCCACATGAAGGGAGACAAGGGGAGACAAAGGGAGACAAGCGGAGACAAAGGGAGACAAAGGTAAACAAAGGGAGATAAAGGGAGACAAAGGGAGACAAAGGGAGACAAAGGGAAACAAGGAGGCCAGGAACCCGGCAACAGTCATCAGAATGTCGGCAATCCTTAAATGAATTTAGAAGTAGACTGTTTGGGGAATAAATGATGCTACGGCAGTCGGCAGCTGCGACCTCGCCATGCCATGGAAAGCCAGCAATTTCCAGTAGCGTCGCTGCCCATCCGCGAACACCAGTCAGTCACCAAAGCTTCAGCTCGCAACACAGCAAGTGTTTGGGGAGAGGGAAACCAAAGAGGTTCCACGGAGATGTGACGAGCAGAGTCTTGTGCTCTTCAAGCGCTATTCCTCCCACCGCGGTGGCTGAAGTGGACTCCGGTGAGTTGGCAGACCGTGTGCCTAGGATGAGACGATCCCGGTCGGCATCCTTGCCGGCACAATAAAGAGCCAACTCCAAAAGCTTCGTGCCCAAGCGATTGCCAGTCCACCACCAGCTGGCCGCCTGCTGCCGGACGCTGGCAAGCGCCCGTGCAAGCAATAACTTCCTGCAGGGAGGCAAGCCAGGAGAAAGCCCGTTTGAAGAAAAACGCAGAGCATGCTTGAGCGACCTCGCGCTGTTCCTCAGCAGACGTGGGGCAGGGCGGACAGCGGAAGTCCTCGAGTAGATGGTGCGAAGGCGTCAGTGACGATCTGGGCTGCAGCGGCCAGAGCTCGACACGTCCTTCTTTCTTCATGTGTGCGGCCAGATGGACGGCGATCTCGGACAACTTCCACGACCTCGCTCCCTGGGAAGCTGCCAAGTCTCTGAATTGACGGCACTCTTCCGCCTTCTAAACGGCATCGGTTGATCGGTGCAACTGCAGCGTACGGCAGCTTTTTGAGGACGCCGTTCCATTTTGCAGAGCATTGGGGCAGCCACTCCCAGGCCAACATGCATGATCTCCCGGCGTTTCCCGGCTTTGCAGCGAGCGCTTATACGTGCAAATGCTGTAGAGTCGCTGTGCGTTTCTTTTTTTGTCGTCGTCCTCCCCACTGACAAGCGAGGCCTTGAGGTGTTCAAGTTGCCCATTCTTCCTGTTGCTGAAGTTTCTGTTGCGTGGTTGCCGCGTCGCACACCATGTTGTTTAGCAGGTCTCTGCTGCAAAATGAGGGGACTGCCCGAGCCTGCCCACAGGGACGCTGATGTGGTAAGGGGCGTCCGCTTGAAAGAAAAGAGCATGCAATGTAAGACGCAAACATGGTCTGCATAAAATGTTTTTTTAAAGGGATGAAAAAATTGCAAAATTCACGTTTTCCTTGTTTGACGAATATATCCTCAACGAAACAATCTGAAAGACCAAGATGAGCCTTACTGACTTTTCGCAACTAAATCAGCCAAAAATGGTTTGGCTTAAAAATCAAAATTTCCAACATCTCCAAGAACACCATGCAAATGCCGGACGTGAAAAACCGTAAAACTAGTCTAAAACTTGTTCATTCTTAAATTCCTGCGTGCCATCTTTTTCAAACAAGAAAGAAAAAACATGATATCATGGATTTTTACGGGACGCAGTTTCACCAAAGACGACGGCTTTGCATGTGTTCAGCGTTGCTTATCTATTGCGGTTCTGTGGTTCAATTTGAGGCGACGGGGATCAATCGCGGGGCTGTCTACCTTATGCTGGCAGATTCTGCATAGCCTGTCTCGGATAGCCTTGAGCCGCCAGGGAAAAGCGGGCGGCAAAGACGGCAGAAGTATGGACTCGACCAGGCCAGTTGCTGACATGTGTTACTCGTTTGTCAAGTTTCCAGCCAGGCCTGCAGCGGGTGACAAGAGTCCCAGGCCAATGAGCGTGCAGGCTTGAACTTGCGAGTGTTAGAGCAGAGTCCAAAGTCCACAGTCCAGGGCGGAGACAGCAATGACAGCAGTTTGCCGGCCAGATTGCAACCATTCCGGCAAGACCGACTAGGAAGGGCAGGAGAGCAATCATCGGTGTCATGGCCCAAGGCAATCTAGGCGTGGCATACGCTGGCCTTACTGTATATTCATCTGGGTGATGCGGCGGCGAAAGCACCAAGGCTTTGAAACCCGCGTGCTCCCCTCGGTGATTTGAAGCTCGGCGCAGTGCCTATTTCATTGGAAGCCTGATTCGACATTGCAGGGAAGACCAGCCTGAAATAACGGAGGAAGCCAAGGCAGTGCACGTACAATCCATGTGCAAGACATGCGACAGGCGACATTCCCTTTAGGTTTCGTGGGGGTGTAACAGGGGCCCAGTCTGCAAAGACACCGCAAGCGGCGACACATTCGAATTCACCGCTGCTCGGTATTCGCGCAGCGTATTTACGATACATTGCAAATCATTGCGATGTATTTATACAAATGCACATACACACGGCACATATATATATATATATGGTATATATATGATTATATATGCATATAATAATAGAAATAATTCTTATTATTGTTATTGTTATTGTTATTGTTATTGTTATTGTTATTATTCTTATTCTTATTCTTATTCTTCTTCTTATTTTTTATCTTTTTTGTTTTTCTTCTTAATTATTTGTATTTTTATTAGTATTACTACTGTTATTATTATTACTGCTATTATTATTATTACTATTATTATTACTACTACTATTACTATTATTGTTATTATTATTATTATTATTATTCTTGTTATTAGTGTTATTATTATTATGATTATTATTATAACGATTATTATAACTATTATTATTAATTAATTATAAATTAACCATAAATTAATTTTTAATTTAATTACTAATTAATAATTAAGTAATAACTAATTAATTATAATTATTTCATAATAATTGATTTTTACTTAATAATTAATTAATAATTCATTAACTAATAAATTATTATTATTATTATTATTATGATTTATGTATATATAACATGGTAACCCAATACCACACTTTCCAAACTATGATAAACGTGCCTCTAGGTGTTCTGCTTCTTCTCGTACTAGAAACTTCGTTTTGATGCTATTCCCTCTTATGTACAAGTCGTTGTTCTGATTACCGAATTCTGGTAGCACGGACTCTGAATTTGCAACCTTCCAAAAAACTCCAAATTTGCGACCGACAGCGTGTGTCTTTGAGACTAGGGTTTTATGCTCCACAGCCAATTTTGAGATTCAGATGTTCAAGTTTCAACGACATAGACCCTCGCAACTTCGACGTGTGGGAATACGGAGATTTTGGAATTCTGGACGGTTCGTGGTCGTGGACCCATGAGGCGGCAAGCTAGGAGAGGAGGCTCGAGAAGTGCACCGGGCGGAGCCGGCACCACCAGCACAAATCAAAGCTGCCAAAGTCCTTAGTTGTTCGACCTTGTTGTTTGACCCAGACGTTAATTTCGTCGAGGTGGGGCCAG